CATCTCACAGTGTTCACATTCATTCTGCCATTTATCACCACAGACTCATTTTTATCAAGCTCGACTTGAAAAAATACATTCTTTCTGAGCGTTTCATCCTGTTTTGTTTGCGATGTTGTCATCCTTTGCAATGATGAAAAGCTAGATGTATGTGTTGGAAAACTTTACCCACTGCTGTTAAAAAGAAACTTTTTATTAGACCTCTAAATGCGAAATGAGTGCAGTTGGATGCATTTCTGAAACTTTACGTACGAGCAGAACAATCAAATGTAATTGAGTTTTTATTGGGTACTGAATGTGGTCTGGGGCTGGCAGGTGTATTGGCAGCTGATGTTGCTGGATTCGGCCTGTTGGTTTCTAGTGGATGTTTGGATTGAACGTGCAAAGGCAGTGCAGGACTGTGACCTTGACATTTAACAAGCTCAAGTGTCTTTTCTTTTTCAGTCTCTTCTAGATGATAATTGCCATATGGCTGCAGGGACTCTGCAAATTAAATTTGAGGTAGTTTCTGCCAAAGAACCAGTAGGCTATAAGTAGAAAACAGTAGCTATGTTTCCATCACCCTGTTTTTATGCACATTTTGAAGTATCGCATCAGAAACGAGTGATGGAAACGGCACATTTCGAATAAAAATCCCTTGATTCGCAAACATTTTTTTACGTTCGCTTGAGGGGGTTTTTGACGTGTGCGAAAAAGGGTTAATGCGAATAAAAGGAGATGGGGGAAAAAAAGTCACGTGACTGCGCTATGGGACGGAAAAACCTAACCAGTGGACCAATCTCGTTCCTCAGCATCTGAAATGTTATGGTCATTTTGAAATGTCTGAGCGAAGTCTGTCATCAACATATTTCTGTATAATTGCCTCCCAGAACTGTTACACGACTGTGTTCCCAAACAGCAGCATCCACCTCCGAAAGCAATGACCAAATTTATTTTGTTTCGTCTGCTCGCTCTGAGGCGCAAGTAATTTATTATATAGGCCTATGAAAATTATTATATTCAGGGGTTTCTCCTACTTTTCATAGTGATATATAGCCTAGCGCCAGTTCTACCAGGAAGTGATGATTTTGTTCTCTTCGACTCGTTGGATGGAAACGTTGCTTATTCGCAAATGTTTTATGCACTATTTCAGTTTTGCGCATAAGTTAAGTTCGCAACTTTGGATGGAAACCCGGCTATTGATGCAGTACTTTCATAAGCATACATATAATGCATTACAAGTTCTTAAAGAGAAAGTTCACCCAAAAATGAAAATGTGATGTTTTTCTGCTTACCCTCAGGGCATCCAAGATGTAGGTGACTTTGTTTCTTCAGTAGAACACAAACGAAGATTTTTAACTCAAACCATTGCAGTCTGTCAGTCATATAATGTAAGTGGATGGGAATCACGGCTTTGAGAGTAAAAAAAAACATACACAAACAAAACCAAATTAAACCATGCGGCTCGTGACGATACATTGATGTGTAAAGACACGAATCGATCGGTCTGTGCAAGAAACTGAACAGTATTTATATAGCTTTTTACCTCTGATTCACCGCAATGTCGAACTGTCCTGAGCGCATTCGCGTCTTCTTCTTCTTCTTGCTTTACAGCTGATCGCAGACTTATAAGTGCATTACCGCCGCCTATCTCTCAAATGGACCATTGATACTCTATCTACAATCTCAATTAGGAGTGTCAATGGTCCATTTGAGAGATAGGTGGTGGTAATGCACTTATAAGTCTGTGATCCGCCGTAAAGTAAGAAGAAGAAGACGACGCCTCACGCCCGGCTGTTGAGTATGTGCTCAGGACAGTTCGGACATTGCGGTGAATCAGAGGTAAAAACTATATAAATACTGTTCCGTTTCTTGCACAGACCGATCGTTTCGTGTCTTTACACATCAATGTATCATCACGAGCCGCATGGTTTAATTTGGTTTTGTTTGTGTATGTGTTTTTGACTCTCAAAGCCGTGATTCCCATTCACTCACATTATACGACTGACAGACTGCAAAATCTTTGTTTGTGTTCTACTGAAGAAACAAAGTCACCTACATCTTGGATGCCCTGGAGGTAAGCAGATAAACATCACATTTTCATTTTTGGGTGAACTATCCCTTTAAGATGAATGAAATATCATGCAATAACACGAAATAGCAATGCACAATATTTTAATAGGATTTTGGTGTTAATTTCTATACATACATGCGAAGTTCAATTAAATATGATTACTTAACAATACAATTAGTTGATGTGGTATGATCGAACAAGAATGAATAAAAAATGGTGTATTAATAAATTAACATTGATGTAGATTGATGCATGTTATTTTTTTGTTTTGTGATGCCTAGAGCATGAATTAATATGAATGAATTGAACCTTATTGTAAAGTGTTACACAATATATGCTCACCAAGGCTGCAGTAAAATAGTGAAAAAGTTTTATAATTCAAAATAATCTGAATATTTTGTAAAATGTAATTTAATCCTTTGATCAAAGCTGAATTTTCAGTCTTCAGTGCCACATGATCCTTCAGAAATCATTTTAATATGCTGATTTGCCGCTCAAAAAAACATTTCTGATTATTATCAATGTCGAAAACAGTTGTGCTGCTTCATAATTTTGTGGAAACCTGCATTTTTCAGGGTTATTTGTTGATTAGAAAACATTTTGTAATATTATAAATGTATTTACTGTCAGTTTTGATCAATTTAGTGTGTCCTTTCAAAAAAATCATGGACACTTGACCATTCAGTAAGCGGTTTAATTCACATTTATTGTCAAAAGTATCCTGGTTAGATTTCATCTTACTACTTTAAATTTCTTTAAATACTGAATGTAGTGATATTGAATGAACTCAAATTCATAATTAGTCTACTACGCACTATATGTGTCGATTTATGCTAATATGCAAGTACTTAAACAATTTAGCACGTCATGATATTGTCTTAATACCAGATCAGCCTATGCTACCTAACATCTAGTGTTAGCAACTAGCTAAAATAATTACCTTCAAGCTCTTGCCAAACTTTTCAGCTAATATTTTTAAAGCCATAATGAAATGCATTTTTCATTTAATCTAAATGTATCCATTTTTGAGGTATTTTTACCTCAAGATTTACCTCAAAGTGTAAAAATGGAATTTGCTTTCTTACCCTGTTGAAAAAACTATCATATGCTGGTTAGGTATGTTTTGAAGCTGGGATGCTGGTTTAAGCTGGTCCTTTGCTGGTTTAAGCTGGTCCTTTGCCAGCACATGACCAGCATAAAACAGCAAAGTACCAGCTTAAACCAGCTGAAACCAGCATATCCCAGCTTCAAAACATACCTAACCATGGTTAGGTATGTTTTGAAGCTAGGATGCTGGTTTGAGCTGGTTTATGCTGGTCCTTAGCTGGTCACGTGCTGGTCCTAAACTGGTCCGACCAGCACATGACCAACATAAACCAGCAAAGGACCAGCTTAAACCAGCTGAAACCAGCATATCCCAGCTTCAAAACATACCTACCCATGGTTAGGTATGTTTTGAAGCTGGGATGAGCTGGTTTAAGCTGGTCCTTTGCTGGTTTATGTTGGTCATGTGCTGGTCGGACCAGTTTAGGACCAGCACGTGACCAGCTAAGGACCAGCATAAACCAGCTCAAACCAGCATCCTAGCTTCAAAACATACCTAACCAGCATATGCTGGTTTTTTCAACAGGGTAGTATGTTTAGTGCATGATTTGAATTAGATTCACAAGCATTAGCGTTGCAATATGTCAAGATGCTTTCAAAAGTGAACTTTACCTTCTTTAACATAGCTTTCCTACTTAAAGACCGAGTGTTTCAGCAATGTTTCTCAACAATTTACTACAAACTCAAACTGAGAAAGTTGAAAGAGAACTGTAACAAGCTTCCAGCGTGCTCTAGCTGCATTAGCCGTTTTAGCATACACCTACTTGGAAAATCCATCTGAAATACTACACTATATCCACTTATTATTAACATACTGTTTTCGAAGTTTTATGAGTTGGAATTAACTGCAAAATATCCTGTGGTAAATTCATGGTAAAGACCCTTGAGAGAGTCTTCCATGCGTGTGTGGCACTGCTTTAAATTGCTCAAATTGAGCGCCCAAAAACTCCACATCTCTTTGCAGAAAATCGCATTTGTCTCGGAAGTGAGTAATGACCAAGTTTCTTTCCTCAGGAAGATACGTTTGTGGAGAGCTCTTGTGGGAGCTCCGTTTTGAGGAGAAGTATCAGAGAAGTAGAATCTCTCTCAGCAGCCTTTTTTGTTGAAGATGTATGGGAGACGGTGTTAGAACTCTCTCTGGGCAGCGCAGGGTGTCATTGGCGGCTGGAAAGATGAATGTTTTAAAGTGTCTTTTCCAATTGCTTTCCCTAAATCATCTCTATGAGGCTAAAGATGGGAAAACTCCACATCTCTTTGCAGAAAATCGCATTTGTCTCGGAAGTGAGTAATGACCAAGTTTCTTTCCTCAGGAAGATACGTTTGTGGAGAGCTCTTGTGGGAGCTCCGTTTTGAGGAGAAGTATCGGAGAAGTAGAATCTTTCTCAGCAGCCTTTTTTGTTGAAGATGTATGGGAGACGGTGTTAGAACTCTCTCTGGGCAGCGCAGGGTGTCATTGGTGGCTGGAAAGATGAATGTTTTAAAGTGTCTTTTCCAATTGCTTTCCCTAAATCATCTCTATGAGGCTAAAGATGGGAGAAATGTACGGCAAGCACCAACTCCACTAGTTGCGAAGTTTAATTGGACGTGTTTCTGTGCTCTCCGTGCTTCGCTGGCTACATACTGTACTTCGCTATCAATTTGCATATGTTAAATACGGGACTGCTTTGCTGTTTGTCTAGTTATTTTTATAGCTGGAAGGGATTTTTTGTGTGATTATGTGCGGCCGAGATGTTGTTTTTGTCCCTGAAAGCTGTTCTAAAGATTTTCCGTATCAACAGAGTCTGATTAGCGAGACTCCCACACAGGTTTCACGTCTTGGTGCTATTCCCATTTCTCTCTCCAGGTTTGGGCCAGTAATTTTCTTCCCAACGAAGCGGCGCTGGCGGAGCGCTGTCAGAGAGACTTCCTGCAGAAGCACGGAGAGCCTTTGCTGGTTCAGTATGCTCGAATGGAGGCACAAGCACAGGTAAATCACCCACATAAGACACAGTTCAAAGCGCTCAGCAGTCTGTCAGCATTAAAACTCCCTATAGATAGTTTGTAAAAGCTCTCACCACCACAGTGTGAGTGCTTCTGACAGCCCTGCTGAGGGAAAAACAGCATAAACCAGTCTAAGGTGGTTTTCTGGCCTTGGCTGGCCACCGAGCTGGTTATAAGTGGTTTTGGGGACTTTTCAGCTGGTAGGCCTGAAGTCAGACCTTTTAGGACCCGTTTGAGACGTGTATACTAGTACTTAGTGATACTCCACCTAGGGCTGAGCGATAAAACAACATCATATTGAATTGTATGACGACTTGAACACATGAACTTCATCTCCAGAGCTTCTCAGACAGTCACTTCTCAAGCTTTTCACCATTTAATTTGAGAAAAACTAGTGTTAAATACACGCTAAAGCTGAAAGTAAAACTATAAGACCTTCACAACAAACTGTCAAAATAAAAGTCTGGTTTAACTTGAAGAAATTATGACAGAAATGCATTACTATAGTGTACTAAAATGTAATTCTCAAGTAATAATAATTATTTTTTAATAATAATATATATATATTTTTTACTTGACCTTTAGGGGAAAACAAAAAGATTGATCTTGTACAAGTGCAGGTGGGTCAGTGACAATGTTTTTATTATAAGACTTTAATTTGTACTTACAATTACTTTAATTGTAGTTACATTTTAGTAATTTTGTTGAACTTGTCATTATTATTATTATTATTATTATATGATTCAGAATTTTTATTTATAAGTTTTAGTTACTGTAGTACTTAAAGTTAAAATTAAATGAGAAATGTTACCTTGGCAAGTAGTTGAAATAAATTAAGTTGACTTTTTTATTGATTTATTTTTTAATTAGTTTTAGTTTATTTAATTTTAATAATTATAGTACTGAAGGGTAACATTAAATGAGAAATGTTACCTTGGGAACTAGGTAAAATAAAATATTTAATTCATTTTAAATGTCAAAAATTCATTTAAAAATCATTAACGAGTATTTTAAATAATAATAATAATTATTATTATTATTAATGTTTTAGTTTTGGTTTAACTGTAATAACCCTGCAAGAAAAAGAAAAGGATGAATCTTTTCAAAATCTGCTTTCATATGTATGTGACAAGTTCTTCATGTTGGTTTCATGTGATTTTGAAAAAAGAAAAAGTATACTATTTTCAAGAACAGTTTACATTTTATGACTCTAAAAATGTCATATGGTGTAACTATCAAGTAAAAAGTAAAGACATTTTCATAATTTGAATACATGCGAGTGTACACATCTTAATCATTTATTTATCAAAACAATTAAAAATATATATATTTCAAGGCAAAGAGAATTTATACTAACATTCTGCAGTATTAATTCAAAAACAGTTTATATTAAATGGATAGTTCAGTTGGTTCCCATTGACTTGCATAGTGTTTTTATTATATATATATATATACATTGCCTTGTCATTATCTGATATTTTAAGAGACTTTAGAGCCATGAGGGCCTGCAGTGGTCCTTGCTATGAAATTATTTCCTGTTTTATTTTATTTTTTTCTGCATGTTTCTGTATACTAGTTGCACCACGCAACCTTGATTTGGTGGACAAACATTTTTAAATATGTTTTAATAATGTTTTGACAAAACTTCGACACTTTTTTTTTTTCTTTTTTAGAAAACAAAAGTTCATAAAATTACAGCAAACTGCTCAGTAAGGTTTAATCATTTGTAAAGGATTTCATTAACTAATTTTTTTTAATCATGGAATGGGGAGTTTTTTTTAACCCTGATATTTCTTACTCACAAAAAATATATAAAAAAAACATAAACCATGTTCTTCATAGAAGAGGTGTATTCAAGTGCTTGTTTGTATAAATTGCATTTTTAAGTGTTTTTGAATAAATACATAGATCCATACCAAAAAGAATAAGATATACCCTCCTTCTCCTTGTTTATAGTATATTTTGTCTAATTTGATCATGCTTTTATCTTGTGTAATGTATTATTCTCAAATGTGTTTAGCACGTTTAACCATGTTTAAATCCGTTCTGCTGAAATTCAGTGCCAAAAATGCAGGAAAACTCCACAGATTCTGTCTAGGCCCGTCTATTACTGTCTGCCATAACAAGTCATCCTTTCTTGTTTGCTTGTTTGTGTTCTCTCTTGATTGCAACACCCCCTTGTAAAGTGTGCTGCCTGTTCACCCACTGCATGCTTTACAAGGGGGCATTGGAGCATTAGCATACGCAGCTGAATCTCTAGCACGCTGCTGTGTGTCTCTGTGTGTGTCACCTGGGCCCTGATCATTATATTGCGCTGGGCAGAATGCTGATGGCATGCCGAATCAGCAGGCAAGAGCTGAGCGCACACGGCCCAATCCGCTGTTCTCGCACTTCAGCGCAATCTGCTAGCCAAGCATGCAACGCAACGAGAAAAAGCTTTCATTAGCATAATGAGGCAGACATAATACTGAACTTGGTTAAATCATAAGTAATCACGAAAGAGAGTGGGGGGATGAGTAGAAAGTGAGAGTAAAAGACGGACAATAAGATTAACAGTGATGTGTTGTTTAGTATGCTAAAATGGTTTTGTTTGTTACTAACAGCATTTTAACACTTGTGGCTGCATTATATGGAACATGACAGTTCATAGTATTACATTCCACTTTAAACATTTTTATTAAAATCAATAAATGTAATGGATTTTTAACAAACTAAATATTTATTTATTTGTTTGTTTGTTTTGTTAACATTATGTTCAGGGTTTGAAACGAACACCTGCCAACCTGCCAAATGCGGGTAAAAATCAGATGTGGCCAATTTGGTGGGTTTCTTATATATTATGTTCACTAATTAATTTCTTGGGCAAGTTCATTTAAGCCAAATCTGTGCAGATTTAGCGCAAATACTGAACTTGTGAGTCATCATCAACACGATTTCTAATTGCGGAGCATCTGCGCATATCTAGCTTACTTGAACACACCTGACAAATAATGACGTGGCAGGCACGCTGGTTTCCTTTGCATTGAAGCAATAACGAAGAGTAGAAAAATGACTGAAGACTCACTCCGTGTCTATGCCAGACGCGAGCGGCGCAACAAAATACAATAGAAGCCAATTATGATCAGTGATGCTGTCTACACTGAAAACTCATCTCTTTCGACGCTACTTGACTTCATCCTAAATATATATATATTTTTAAACTTGGGTGCTGGTTAACAAGATATTTTTAAAGATATAATTAAAAAAATATGCAAATCAAGTTAATTTCACGAACAAATCTGTCGAAGAGCTCACCAACGTGGATGAGAGGATATATCGCCATCACATATATGGGGGCCATCACGATCACTTTCTGGGGGGGGGGGCTATAAAATTAGAAATTAAATTGAAAAGCATATTCAGCAGTAAAATGAACTAATATTACCAATACCAAGATCTACAAAAGGTTAACAGAGTGCTGTCTTGTCAATCAATTACAAAAATAATTAAATAATCACACATTTTTCTGTAATCTTGATTAATCGCATATTTATAAATTTATATTGTCATAATTTCACATTGAACTTCCAAATTAATGTAGAAACAACATAAATATAGTATATTTTAAATATGTGTTTAATGGCATCTTTTTTACTAAGTAGCCTATTATTAATGAAGTACCGATACCAATACTGCTACTGGAGTCTCTATTATAATTGAAAGCCATTATTTTTAACATTTAATAGGCTCTGAAATATATGACAACTTTTAATTCAAGTGATTTTAAAACAATCTTCACAAAAACTATAAATTGTATATGCATAAACTATATTGGTTAATTTTTATTCAAGCTACAAAAGTTAATCAGCGACTAGAGCAGTCGAGTGATTTCTCTATTTCTTTTGTTCTTTGATTTTCATCAATGACAGACTTTAGCAAGCCTCACTTTAAAAGCAGTGCTGTCTCTTTAAAACCTGACACACATGACGGAGATCTGACTAGTGATGGGAAGTTCGGGTCATTTTACCGACTCGGACCTTTGAGTCTCATTCAGCAAAATGAACTAATCTTTTTTCGAGTCATTTCGTTCATTTTAGCAAAATATAATTAAAATGTTACGTGTTACTTCCCTAATACGTCTACTACTTTCTATTTAGTATTCTCTTTCCGGCTCAGACTGCATTGGTTAAACTTATGGGGCTGTCACGTGATGAACGAATGACTCGGAAAAACCCGAAGACTCGAAACAGGTGAACTACTTGACTAATTCCAGTACAGAACCTATATGATGTTGCGCATGCGCGACTGAACGAATCACTCCCCGAGACGACTCGTTCTTCCCGAGTCACATTAAAGATTCGTTCAAAATGAACGAATCGTTCAAGAATGACCCAACACTAGATCTGACACACATCCAATTTTCTCCCAACTCTTTACGGTCATTTAAGACTTTGAAACTCAGTTAAGTCTCTTAAGTCAGAGGTAACTCGCCAAAACTGCGCATTTTGACATAATTGTGTGTTTTTGTCAGTTGAAGCACTACTGGCAGTCCGTCTGAAGTGTCTCAGCGAATGTGTACAGCCGAATGCGCAGCCTTTCAAACTATACTTCATTTGATAATAATTTTCGTCCAGTGTTTGTGCTATTTCTTTCCAGAAGTTATGACCAATAACACTGTCTTTATACTCTGTTAAACTAGAGTTGTGGATATCTCATAACTCCCTCATAAACGCTTGTTAACGCTGCCGTCTAGTGATGTTGCGGTCTCCGTAGATTGTTGTTGTTGTTGCGTCTCTTTCTTTTCTTTTTCGGATGGCCCAGGCCAGTGTTGCCACCTTGTGGACAACAATTCAAGGCATATATGCGACCTGCGCGTACTTCTCCCTCGGGCCAGATGAAGATGATTGGCGGGCCGGATTTGGCCCCCAGGCCGCCAGTTGAATAGCCTTGCTTTAGCATATTCAGACCAAACTGAAAAACCCTGCCTTCAGAAGATACATTCCAAGG